CGGGTGCCGGCGCCCCGCCCGCCCGCGCCCCAAGCCGTAGCGCGGCGCCCCGCGCCGTCTGCCCGCGCCGAGCGCGGAGGATTCCGCGCGGCTCCGCGCTCCGCGCCGCCGCCCCTTCCCCGCGCGCCGGCGGGCACCGCGAAGCCGCGGAAGGCGCCGCCGGAGACGGGAGCTGTGCGCGAGGCGGGTGCGCCCGAGCTGTCGGATGGGGGAGCGTTAGGACAAGGATTGGCCCCGCTCCGGGAGAGCGCTGCCGGCGGCGCGCGAAGGAGCGCGGAGCCTCGGCCCGAGCGGGGCCGTTGCTGACAGCCGCGCGCTGCGCCGCGGTGCCAAGAGCGGCGCGGGAGCAAACCGTCCCGCAGCGCACCGCGCCGCCGCTGCCTCCCGCGCTGCGTCCCCAGCGCGCTCCTTAAAACCCAGCCTGGGAGCGGCGTTGGGAGGCGCTGCACGGAGCCCCTCTCGCCCGCCTTTGCCGCTGAGCGGGTGCGGAGCCTCCCCCGGGCCGGGACCTCACCCTGCAGCCCGGACCTCAGCATCACAGCGATGGGGCAGCGCCGCTGTCATAGCTGTCACCCGAGGGCTGTGTCACCCCATTGTCTCTGCGTGCTCTGGGATCCCGTTCACATCTTCTGGGGCTCAGTCGTGCTCCAGCAGCTGTTGAAGTCAATGCAAAGCCAGTGGCAGCCATCCTGCTGCCTTACTTTGCATTGTGGTGAGGAATTATGCAACTATTGTTTACTACTTGCTTGTAGTCAGACTACTCTCAAGCTAGCAGAGCACGACTGCCGAGTGTATAAATAGCCCTCACAAACCATAACACAGCTATGAGAGCGCAACGTGAACCTACAGCACAAATCATTCCTCTCCCAAGATGCATGTGGAAAAGGAGGAGGCCATCAAAACCGACAGGAGATGGCCCCATGGGCAATGGCCCCACCTAATACACCACCCGGCGCAGGGGCTACCTTCCTCACACCTTGTTCAGCCATGCCCTCTGAATACTGCTCTGAGCTGCTCTGAGCTATGATCTGCTACTGAGCAAAGAGGACAAGTTAACTCTAGGAGACAATATAATGATGGGAAATGAAGGTACCTGCTGCTCACAGAGGTTCCAACTGGCACGCCACGTGTTTCTTGTCCCATCTCAAGTCTCCTCTGCACAACGTGCTGCTGTCATGGAAGGCACAGACAAAACACCAAGCAGGCCCCTGCAGATTAGAATCATGTAATCAGTAAGGTTGGAAAAGGTCTCTAAGACCACCCAGTCCAACCCCAACCCACCCCACCATGCCCACTAACCATGGCCATCAGTGCCACGTCCCCACAGTTCTTGAACAGTGACTCCACCACCTTTCTGAGCAGCCCGTCCCAATACCACTCATTCTGAGAAGTTTCTTGTAATATCCAACCTGAACCTCCCCAGTACAACTTGAGGACATTACTCTCTGTCCAGCTATCTGTTTGTCCATCCATCCATTACTTGAGGTGCAGCCTCATCAGAGCCAAGGACAGAGGGCAGAGCTGCAGAGCTTCCACTGCTGCAGATGCTCAGCCTGACCACAAGCTGTTGACTCCTGCTAGTCTGGCCCAGGTACAAAAGCGCCCCAAGGCACTTCTCTCGGGAGCAGTTAATGCTCAGATCCTCCCCAGTCTGTCCTCCTCCTGTGGGCATCGCTCACTGGGCTCACCAGCAACTTGCTGTGTTTTACTATGCCTGTATGCCAGAATCATCCACAAAACCTCATTAAAAATGAAGCAACACATAATACCACGGCACTATAATACTTATTGTACCACCTGTGTTAAATTTGGTGGAAGGATTTTGCAGCCCAGGTGTCACTGAGAGCTGTGATGACAACAGGCCGTGCACCTGGGGCTTTCCCTGGCACTCTCCAGCTTATCCCTCCCTCTCACTGCGGCTCCTTCCCAGCACCGATAGTGCTGACCCTTTTGTCTTCACCCTCAGCTTCCTCTTTCTGCATGAGTCCTTCCCACCCCTGCCATGACCGTCAGGAGGTATCTGTAAGGTAGTGTTTAACCAGCAAGCCTCCCAGCTGATTTTTCATGAGGCTACCATGATACCATGGCTGCTACTTTGCAGTGGAAGCAGTGTGTGGGGGGCAGTTCAGGGGCTGCCCTGCACTGCCTGCCTCCTGCCATGGCCCCATACTTGCCCAGGCTGTCAGCAGCTGCTGGGAGCTGCTCTCTGACCCGGTATGCCACATCTGAGGAGCTCTGCTGGCATGCAGCAAAACACAGCAAAGGGGGAGAAGAGCCAGGGAGGGAGATGGTAAAAGAAACAGAAACAAGGGGATGGGGGAAAATGAATAAAAGGAAGAAAATAAGGAAGACAGCAGAGGAAGCAAACTAATGAAGTTAAACCCATCATTGGATTAGTGCAGAGGGGGGTGATTCCTTGCTGCTGGGGACCTGTGCCCGCTGCCTGCAGGGGGGTTCGGCTGGGGAGGAAAGCCCTGCATCTCCTGAGTTAATAAAAAAAGCTTTTGGACTTCAGCAGGCTGAGTAAATTAGGCTGAATATAAAGGTGCTGTATTATTTCTCAATGCGGCAGCAGTATGAAAGGAGGGAATGGGTTTCTTTTGAAGCGGCTGCTGTGTAATCCAGGGCTTTCAGGTGTACTTCAACCAAATGCTCTCCTGGTTTCAGCAGGTTAACTTCATTAAAGGCTCCATCTCCTGCTTTAATGTTTGCTGAAATCCCACTGGGTGGGCACATTAGGCAGAAATCAGCCCCACAAGAGAATTTCAAGCCCTTGTTTGGTGCAGAGCACAGACCTGGGAGGAGAACGCAGGAGGGGAACACCACGACCCAGGCTGTAGGGGAGCCCACTGTAACACACCCAAGAGCCCCTTGGTGACAGCAGCAGAAGGCACTGTCTCAGTGCCCCCCCCACAGCCTGCACACAGCTATGTCTCCTGTTGCTGTCTCCCTACCTGCTTCCTGCTGTGCTCCAGCATTCCCTTCTCCATGCAGTCGCTGTGCAGAGGGCTCCTTGTACAAAAGACAGCTTTTTTGCAGATGCTGGCACTCCTGGACTTAGCAGTTCCCTTACGGACAGGTATCTGGCACTGCACAAGCATGGCCTGCACGTGGTGATGTGCAGTGAAGGCTTTGCACTAAAGCTGCAGCAGGAGCTGGGCCAGCTTGCAAGGAGAGCACTTGGGATCCCTTAGCTTCTCCCCTCTCTCAGAGAGTGGACTGAGAAGCCATCAGCCACTGTGCCAGGCCCTGGAAATTCTCTTGGCTTTGCTATTGAGGGCTCTGAATCAGGCTTGATGTTCTTACCCCCGCTCGAGATCAACCTCTTGCTAGTCTGTGGCAAACCAAGCTCTGCAGGTTAACCCAGTAGAAGCACTCATAATGACCCACCACCTGTGATCTCCACAGATCCCCGCCCACAGGGCAGTATCTGGCCAGCTATAGGCTGGAGAAGCCGTAGTTGGCACACGCTCCAGGTGGGGTCAACAGCAAAATTGCTACAGGCTGAAGGAGAGGGACACATATGTGGGCCCAGGCACAGCTGCAAACCCAGGGCTTCAATTAAAGTTTGCTGAAGCTGGAGGGCTGATAGGGTAGTATGGTTAGGTCATGGTTGGATTCAATGATCTTTAAGGTCTTTTCCAACCTGAGTGATTCTATGATTCCATGATCACCCTGGCTGATGGCTGGGTGCGACAAAAGCGGCTGAGCCCTGCAAAGCCAGCACGATGCCATTAACTGCAAGTACTGCCATCAGCTTCTGCCAGGCTGGCTCCCATGGAGTGCTGTGTTCTGCAGTATGGGCTTGTAGGGCTGTGTGCTCAGTGCTGTAACAGACCTCACCAGCAATCTTCTTAGAACGCCGCCTTAAAAATACACACGTTCCTAAACTAGCAAGCCTTTTGGACTCCCCCTTGCCTGAGACTTGGCAAAGAAATTCTCAGGCCAGAAGCGATTTCTTTTTCCTTATAAACAAAATGCCATTACAATGCTTTGGCTCTTGGCTTGATAGATCCTGGCAAGAAAACACATGTGTATATTTTAAAGGTCTTTCTCCTTTGCTTATCCTGCTTTAGCTGTTGACCTCTCTTCTCTTCACGTGCCCAGGGACATTCTGGCACTGGCTGCCGTGGTGGTATGTCACAGGGCCCTCCCTGCAACTGGGCTGTTCTACGGGCAGAGAGCACATTCTTCTGGAGCACTATCACAGGGGAAAGCCTTGAGCTATGCAAGGTTGTCTTTCCCTTTTAATCTTTTGTTTTCTTTGATGTCCATTCTAAAATAAATTATTACACCTTATTTGTATTATGGTACCTGGCTCAGCAAGGACTGAGACCCTTCTGCTGTCCAAACACAGAGTCAGAGACAGTTCTTCCCTCAAACAGTTTACAATCTTAAGAGACAAAGCAGATGAAAACCAAGAGCCAGAAACAACGCGGATGACAAGCCTGTGGATTACTTTTGCATTTAGTCAAGTTGTAAACTGTTGAGGGAGGGATTGCCATCCGACTGTGCCTGTGCAGCATCAGCGGTAGCTTTCCCCTGATGCTGCTGGACAGCCTGTTGTTTGGAGACAGGTTTTCAGCACAGAGTGCTTAGGTGAGGATGCCACAGAAAGTACTGAAGGAGCCACCACTTCTCACTGTCATCACCAAGCATGTTTCAGTGTCCCAAAAAAGCAATCTCAAACCAGAAAGAGGCATGTGCCCTGCTGGCAAAGGGCAGATAAGGAGAGAAAAGAGAACAGACATAGTGGATTCCAGCTGATCATTAGACTCAAGGCTGAGATATGTTTTCATCACAGAGCACCACTCCTGTGTTTTGGGAACATTTCAAAGCACATCTGGCACATTTGAACTTGTGTACATGTTCACCTACTGAGACATTTCACAGTGATGGTTATCATCCTTTTGGCACAGTTCTTCTATGTGCAGAACGTGGAAGACAGTCTTCTTAATCCTCCCTTTAACTCAAATGCACACCTGAAATCAAGGCCTCGTACTCATGTCACTTCCTAGACAAGAAATCCATGCTCTCAGAGCTCAGTGCTGCTTCCTTTCTCTTTCCGCGAACATTCTGAGTCACTGTCATCACCCTTTCACTTTGGGGACAGGGCTGCTCCCTCATCACTGCAGCGTAGCTCCTTTTTCCCAGGAGGTTCTTCCTTCTGTCCTCCGGATCCTGCACGCAGACACCATTGATTTTCAGTAAAACTTCTGGAGATCGATGGTGCTAAGCCTGCTTCCCACTCAATAGGCTGGCACATCAGCTGCTGGGAGGCACTGAGGCCCATGCCTCAAATAACTACGCTGGATGGTCCTCAGGGGAACAGGGACCTATAGAACAGTGGCCAGGAAGCTGCTTGTTTTCCGGGCAGCTTGCACCACAGTGTTCTCACTGAGCTGCCTTCACAGGACTTGAGGAGCACGTGGGCCTCCTCAAATTCAGGCTGGTCTTCTCAAAGCTTAACTTATGGCTTAGCTGTAAAAGAGATGCACTAAAATAACAACTATCGGGTTCTGTGACATGAGGGGTGCTTTTGTAGCCATCCAGCTGCAGATAGGAGAACCAGTAGGCTCTTGTGGTCTTCCTGAGCTGGACAAGTGATCCAGCAGCCGACCCAGCGTTAGCAGCACTGGGCCTTTAATGTATGGCCTTTCATTTCCACATTAGTAGAATCAAACTGCCAATCTACTTCTCTCCTACCCCTACTCTGACTTCTCTATTATGAACTCCTGAATGGTCTCTCCCCAAGTGTAGCACAGTAAGTCCAGTGGCTACTGTAATACAAACAATATTCAGCTACAGGGTTTTCTTTATCCTCCTCGGTGTGCTACATTTAACAGCATCGACCAGGAGCCCAGCACAGCCAGGCTTCCCCTTGCTCTCAGCACCTCAGAGCACTTGGGTTCGCGAATCTCTCTATTAACAATACATTGTGTAAAGTTGGTACAGAGCTCAAAGTTTTCTGTGTGTGCGCTGGAGTTTGATTGTAACTGTGGGTATCATTATCATCAAAGAGACTGAGGAATGGCAGCTTTTAGTTAAACAAATGGAAAGCTGTATTTAGTCTCTTTTGCCACATTGTGATAGGAAAGAATAAAGGCTTTTAAATATATTTTACAGCTGCCGTTTCTTAGGTTTTTCTGCCTTACAATAGTCTCTGTGGTTCTGACTGGGAAGTTGTTGCGAAAGCGTTTTGTTTTTT